TCATATGAATAAGAAGTTATATTCCTCACTTTCAGTAATAGTAGATTAGGAAATATTTGTTTCCTGCTCTGTCCTCCCCTTTGCTTATAAGGAGGCAAGGTACACAGGTAGACGTGCTCACAGGAACCAGGCTGGTCTATTTTGGAAGAGGAACAGCCGTTTTATAAGACATAAAAGTAGGATTAATTCTCCCAGCAACTTCATGCAAATAACTCAATCTCTAGAGCGATCCCCAGTGGATTCCAAGTATCCCTCCTTTTTCAAAGGAACGTCCTTCTTCTTCTGGGTAGATCCTTCCACTTGTGACTTTGTATTCCGACTTGCCTTCTTGAAGTCTAGCTCCATCAGTGATCCCCATCCTCTGTTTGAAACCTCTTCCCCTGTCATTCTCTCTCCTTTCTGAGCCATACTCTTGTATGTATCACTATAAATAGTTTCTTGTCAGCTTCCTTGTCTTAAAGAATCAACTCACTGTAATTTGTTCCCATTTCTACTGTTCCACTGAAACCACTATAAAGAAAGTAATCAATGACCTGTTTTTACAAAATTAAAGAATTGGATTAATTTTTTTGGTGGCAAGTGTCAGAAATCGTACTTAAACTAGCTTAAGCAAAGAGGAGAATTTATTAACTTCTTTTAATCGAATCCAAGGAAAAGTCAAGCAATTGAGTTTTGGAAAGGACAAGAATACCGTTGGTTCTTGGCAACAGCTGAAACCTGTGACTCTAATGCTGTCTCAAGGACCCTCTATCATTTCTGCTTCCTTCTGCAAATAAGCTTTATTCTCTCTTGTTGTAGAATAGCTATCTTTACATGAAAGGGAAACTTTCAAGTTTTATGTCTGGGCTTGAACCGACAGATAGGATGTGTCCTGATCCTTTTATTTCCTCTCATGTCCAAAAATCCTTGAAAAGCCAGTCAGCAGCCTGGTTATAGCAGGTGTGCAACATGGATCAATCAACTCTGGTCAGGTCAGTGGATTTATGAGATCACTTTATCTTGTAACATAAAAAAAAAAATGCGTTTATGGTTTAAACAACTTTTAGTTGAGTAGTGCTTTTTGTTGCCAAGTACATTGTAATCAACTTATATATTTTTCAATCTTTGCTAATCTGACTAGCAAAATATATCATTTAATCATTGTTTCTGGTGGCATTTCCTTATTGAAATTTTTTCCGTATGTTTCTTGGCTCTTCGTACTTATTTGCCAGAAGAGTATATCTGTCCTTATCTGTGTTAGATATTATTATTTCGCACAATTTGTCCTTTGCTCGATTTCCTTGCTGTATATTCCATTTGGGTGAAGTATACTTCCTCAATCCACGGACATTGGGTTTAGCAATATGACTTGATTTCACCAATGGAATGCGGGTGGAAGGAGAGTGTGTGGTTCTGAGCTGAGGCTTTAAAAGTCATGGCAAAGTTTTCTAGCCTACTTGCCTCCTGTATTACACCATGAGAAGAGCATACCTGGTAGCTGCTGGCCTGGAGTGGGGAGACATATAGATAACACAACAAAAGCCCAGCCAATTCCAGCAGAGCCTAGCCAAACAGGGACCTGTAAGTGAGAAGTAAATATCTGTTACTTTAAGCCACTGGAATCCTTGATTCATTATTCTTCTTTTAGGCTGTTCAACACTTTCCTTATTTATTTGGAAGATCACTATCAAATTTATATTATATAAATATAATAGACCAAATGTATTTATGTATTATGTATTCAAAATGTTTTCCAAGTTACTAATTTTATTTTTATATTTATTAATAGCTTTTTTCAATATAGAATTATAAATTTTCATTGGAGTTAAATCCAGCAATTTGCTTCTTTATGGTAATTTTCCTAGAAGTCAACTTTTGATGTCTTATCCCTCCCGCTATTTATATAACTATGCATCCGAATTTATCCTCATATTTTAAAAGTACATTTAAACAATAATATATCCAGGATTTATTTTGATGAAAGTAGTGAAATGAAGACCTTAACTTGTTCCAAAGAGTTAGCCTCTTGTCCCACTGAAAATTTTTACTTATTCTTTTGAAATACTATTTTTATAATACAATCTTACCTTGACTTATGAAGGCAGTTTGCACATGAAAAATATAAGGCAAATTATCATAAGTGGAATTAACATTACCATGTGCTACAATGGAAAAATATTAATACATTCCTGAGTCCCCAAATTGACACCTGTTTATCCATTTATTCACCAAATATTTATTGAGCGTTACCATGTTCTAGGTATTTTTCTAGGACACGGGGATACAGCAATAAACAAAATAGATTAAAAATCCATCCTCTCATGGATACTGTATTCTAGTAGGAAAGCAGAAAAATTTACAAAATGAATTCATGGAGAAAAATAGAGCAGGGAAGGCGAATAGGAAATTGGAGCAGGAGGGATAGTTAGTATATGGCCTTCCAAGCTATGGTAATGTCTTTGGTTTTTCCTTGGAATGACATGGGAAGCCACTGGAGGGTTTTGAGCAGAGGAGTGACATAATTTAATTTATATTTTAAGAGGATCTGTCTGGCTGCCGAGTTGAGAATAGGCTGAAGGGGAGCAAGGGCAAATTCAGTGAGATCAGTAGGAGTTATTGTAATGATAAAGTAATCTTGGAAAGAAGAGACGAGGATTACCTCAGTACTTTTGATAACATAAAGTCATTATTCTTCGTTGTGAAGAAAGATTGGAATATATTAATACGCCAAATACTACATAGGTACAAAAGCATTTACCAGATAGGGTTAAAGTCATATTAGGTTAAAATCTGTATAATCTGCACATTGTCATCATGAATTTCAATTTTTGGCTAGTTTATTTGCTAAGATAAGCAAGAAGCTCTCCTATCAAATTCAAAGATTTTTATAGTACTTGCCATTAGGACTTTCAATGAAATATCTTGTCATTAGGAAGCTGCATTTATTGGATATAAGTTAAAGAAAATTTGGTTTGTTCCTTATAGTTTAAATTATGTTTTTAAAAAATTTCTTATCACCCTGCTCTGCCCAGCTCACTTATTGTTGTCCAGTATTTTAAGTTCTCGGTGTTTTACCCCCAATAATTATACATTATTACCAATATTATTTTAGAGTAAATGTTTATTTAGACTTCCTAGATGTTTATTACTTTCTTTGCTTATCATTCCTTGTTGCGCTCAGTTTTTCATTCATGGTTTAATTTGCTTCTTTCTTAATTATGTCCTTAATAGTTCTTTCGGTGGAAGTTTGTAGGTAATCAAGTCTCTCATGAGATTTCTGAAAATATTTTTGTTCCTCTACCATTCTTGTATACCACAGTGATCAGTGGGTCGATCTATATTAGGTTGATAGTTATTTTCTCTCAGATCTTTGAAAACATTTTTTAACATCCGTCTTCTGTTGTGGCTGTTGAAAAACCTGCCATGAGTCAATTTTATTTATTTGTTGTTTCTTTTATCCCCAGTTGCTTTTGATATCTTTTTTCTCACTATGATGGATCTATGTATAAATCTAGTTTTATTTATCTTGCTTTGGGCTGGTTTTGTTGGTTGAATTTGAGGGTTCAGGCTTTTATCAATTCTAGAATATTCTTATGCTTTTTCTCTTCAAAGATTACTTCTAGCCCATTCTCTCTGTTCTCTTCATATAAACAGATGTTGGAACTTCTCAGTCTCTCCTTCATAATGTCAGTTCTTTCATAATTTTCTTTTTTTAAATCTTTTTATTCTGTCTTCAGCATCGTATTTGTCAGATTTATATTCAACTAATTACATTTTAAACTTTGAAAAGATATCAAAGAATATTTGTAACATATGTACAAGGCATTCAAAAATAACCCAATAAGTTGAACACCCTTGTATCCACCACCCATATTAAGAAACAGAATATATATAAACCAATGTTATCCCAAAACAGAATATGCCCTGAGCGGCTCTACCAAATTTACAACTGCCTCCTTCCTTTTCTCACCCAACACAAGTAACCCCTGTCCAAAATTCTGTGTTCATAGTTTGTGAGCTTTCTCTTTCTTTATGCTTTTACCACACAGTATCTCTAATTTATGCTGTTTAGGTTTTCACACTTTCAAAACTTTTTATAAAGTTTTTTATATAAGTGGAACAATACTTGAGTATTCTTCTGCAACTTGGCTTTTTCTTTCAATATTATATTCTTAAATTTAACCCACTTTGATGTGTGTAACTGTAGGTCACTCATTTTTAAAGTCAACTTTATTAAGGTATAATTTACATACAATAAATGCACCTATTTTAATTATATAAATTGATGTTTTGAAAAATATATATATAGACATATACATATATATGTAAACACCAGCACAATCAAGATACAGAACATTTTATTAACCTCCAAAAATCAGTGATGACTCATTTTTACTACTGTATTCTACTTGCTGAATAAACATATTACATTTTATTCTATGAATGGACATTTGGGTCATTTCCCATTTGGACCTTTATAAGTATTAATGTTATAAACATTCAAATATATGGCTCCTCCAGATGCTTGACATATAACTAAGAGTGGATTTGTAAGATTGTAGGGCATGTACATCTTCAGCTTTACTAGATAATGTCAAATTGTTTTCCAAAGTAATTGTACCAAAATGTAAATACAATCCACAGTGTAGGAGCCTTAGTTGATTCACTTTCTTTCCAACACTTGATACTTTAATTTGGGCCAATCTGGTGAGTATAAAATGTAATTTATGCATTTCCATGATTACAAATGATTTTGAGTGTCTTTATGTCTGTTGGCCATTCAGGTTCTCTCCTTTGAAGTGCTTATTTTGCTAATTTTTCTATTTGGTTACTTGCCTTTTTCTCTTTGATTTGTAGTAATTATTTATATTTTGGACAATAATCCTTTGTTTTGATAATAATCTTTCATCAAGTATATGTGTTGCAGATATACACTCCCAGTTTTGTTTAATAATTTCACATTTTATTGTGTCTTAAGATAAACAGAACTAATAATTTTAATATTGCCAGCTTTTTTATGGTTTGTATTTTTACACCTTAAGAAATTATTTCCTTTTTCAAGTTCAAAAGCAGATTCCCCCATATTTTCTTCTGTGAATGGACATTTGGGTTGTTTTCCATTTGGGCTTTTATTAGCATTGATGTTATAAACATTCAGATACATGACTCCTTCAGACGCTTGACATATAACTAAGAGTGGATTTGAAGACTGTAGGGCATGCACATCTTCAACTTTACTAGATAATAACTTACAAAAATAGTTTTATAGCTTTGCCTTTCACATTTTAAGTTTTTAATATATTTAAAATGCACGGATCCAATTTCATTTTCTTCCAAATGAATAATCAAGTTTTTCTTTTCTCCACTGAGCAAGAAAGAATATTTCTGTCATATCAAGTTTCCACATATTCATGGGATTGTTTCTGGGATCCCTATTCTACTCCAATGGTTTATTTGTCTATGACTATCTTAATACCACCCTGTTTTAAATACAATTGCTTTATAATAAGTTCTGATGTTTAAGGTGAGAATAAGCAAGTTTTCTCAACCATTTTTTTTTTAATCCTTAGTAAGTCTGACCCTTTGCTCTTATATACAAATTTTAGATAGTTGTTAGACTGCATGAAACCTCTATTGTTATATTCAATAGAATTGTAAACTGGCACCTTTAGAATATTGAACCTTTCAAATATATCCATTTTCCTTAGTCCCTACTACCATTTCCCCAATTCACGCCATTATCATCCATCTATTTCATTATAAAATTCTTCTTGGTCTCCTTGCCTCTAAGACTCCAAGTTATTTTCCACGTTGTAGCCAGAAAAATCTTCCTAAAAATGTAATTCAAGTAACTTTCTTTTTATCATCCCATTAATGACCTCCCAGTGCCTCCAGGATCAAGGCTAAACTCAACGTGGTTCATGTTTAAAAATCGGCTTCTGTTCACCTGTGCCTCCTTACCCCCAGACACCTTTTTCCACACTGTTGCACCCTGCATTTCTTTGTGCTCCTCTCACTCTGAGTTCACTTTTGGTTCCTCAAGTTAACTAAGCGAGATTTTTCAGATAGGAAAACAGTAATTTGGAAAATTTGCCCTCCTAAAGATGCAAAAGAGATTTCAGTCAGAAATCAGTTTGCATTTAAATAGTAAGATCAAGCACATCATAAACATAATCACACTCTTAAAAGTCATACAGTCCATAACAGCCTCATGCTCTTTTCCTTTTTTACATTTTTTAATGAGTCCAAGGTTTAATTAACTAAAACCATAATTGTATCAATCATAACAAATTTTAAATTCAATTTAACACAAATATATCAGAATACAAAGCACATAGTATGTTCTTTGAACCAGTAAATAAATGTTTTCTTTCCTAATCATAATTTCTAATTGTACAGTGTTTAGAACTTTCACAGTATTCTTGCTATCTTGGTGAATACCAGAAAAGATATTCTGCAAGTTATTATTTAGGAGAGCCCAGGAAGGGTACAGACTGGGCTAGTTTCCCCATCCAATCCTCCAAGTTCCCAACAGACTCACTGCAGAACGTGCACAGACACATCAAGGAAGGGGGATTCCTAACAGCAATACCTTTAGCACCTGACAGAAGATCCTTTTCTCTGAAATCTCCCAAAGAGTCAGTCAACCCAGAATGGAGGTCTCCAAATGCCCAGGATTTGATTGCACCACTAACACCACTCAAGTACCCCCTTTCAACTCTCCTCTCGCTGCTACAAAATCCCACCCTGCTTTTTCCCCTCACTCTCCCCTTTCCCAAGCTTCTCACCACCAGAGCTGAGGAGGAAGAGATCCTATGATCCAGGTAAGTCTGGTCTGGGGCCCTATGGAGGACCTGTGGGTATAAAGTTGAGCAGGCCACCTGGCCTGCAACTCCCTCTTCTATCCTGCTGCTCCCAAACTCAGACCTATTCACGACAATAAATCTTGCTGGGAGGCCAGGGTTCATCCAAAGACTCCAACACCACACACACACACACACACACACACACACACACACACACACACACTGGAAGTGGAAGTGTAAACTGGTAACTTGCCTCTGACTAAGCCCTAAAATTCTGGCTTTCTCAGGAGGAACATGTGAGAATTTTTCAGGACATTTGTGGGGGGCTTGCCCCAAATATATGTAGAGAAAAATAGCTAGCTAGCTTAACTTTCAGCTTAACCTATTTCACCTCCTTCAGCACCTAATAGCTACAAATGTCAACAGCCTTTGTTGGAGAGTTCTCTTGGCTAGGGGACAGTTTTTCTGAGTGGGACACTAGCTGAGGGCTCAAATTTACATTCCTTGGTGTCACCTGACCTACAGGAAACTTGCATATCTTCGCCACCCCAAATTGTGGGAAGGCAGGCTGATCTACTGCAGGTCTAACCTCTCCAACTTTTTTTTCCTGCTCAAGTAATCAGAGAGCAGAAGAGGAAGTCTGCTCTCTAAACTAACACCCAATCTGGAAATTAATGCAAGTCTCCTCTTCCTGAAGGCGTCACAGCAAATGATTTCTTGATAGAAATCACAACATTGGAAGCCAGTTCTATCACTTAGTCATCCTTCAAGGTATGTCTGTGTGCTGTGCGTGTCTGTGTGTGTGCGTGCAGGAGGAGGTTCTGGTTCCAGTCATTGCCATATTTCTTTAGAATATGAGGTACTTATCTCCTTGACCCATCTTTGGCCCCTCCATAGTTACCATTCCTTAGGTAGTAGGAAAAGTTCAATACAACATCCTATTATACATAATAACTATAAATGCAATTAAAATACAGCACATAAATAAATGATAAATAGAAACACACACATAGTAGTCATATCTGCACACAAGGAAATATGCAATTACCATTGCAGTGTATGCAAAACCACATGTCTACAGACATGTGAAGTCACTGCACAAAAAAAAGAGAAAATAGAAAGAAAAAGATCAGGTGATCTACAGAATCACTAGTCATCAAGTTCATGTTAAGATTTCATGGTATATAAACTATGTCTCAATAAAGCTGTTGAAGGAAAAAAATTTCACAATAAGACAATAAAACAAACAGGGAAGAGGGAAGGGAAGGAAGACAAATATTCCTAAGTCTTAAAAAGGTGAAGGTAAAGCAATTCAGCCTCCTGGTACCGAGTCATTTGCAGGAAAAATACACGAGCGTCTAATTCAAATATCTGAGAGGGCTTCACACCAAAAATCTTGTCCAGGTGATTCTAATTCTGTTCTCAGATATCCAATGCTTTATATTTCTTAGAGAGAAAATAAGGAAATTTAGTTCCCTTTTAAAATATACTTTTTATGTCCCTCTCAGTTTATTTTCCCCCAGACCACTTTAGGTATTTATAGAAAGAAGTATGAAATCACCACATATGTTGCTCTATAAAATTAAGAATTGGAAGCACAATACTTTATTCAATTAATAAAGCAAATGGTAAAACTTTAAAAATGTACATCCCTTAGTTCCAAAATAGACTCAGATAGGAGAGAAGACACATAAGATGTAGGTGGGTGGAATTACACTGCTGTCTTCTAAATCTATCCAACACTATTAGCTTTTTTTTTGAAAAGCTGTAAGATTTTATTAAAACAAACACACAATAAAACATAATCCTTCTAAGGTTTCAGAACCGAATGTGAAAAACATTTCTTCCACTTTCTAAGGTTTTTGGGATCCAGTCCCTTGACTCTTTTTACTCAAAAGGCTAGATTATTATAACTAAAAAACTTTTTCTTCTTCAACTTTCAATGTTACATTTCTTTGAAAAGAAGCAGTTACTGTAAGTAGCTTTCTTGTCTAGGAAAAGACATTTTCTTCAAAGATCCTGGCATGTTTTGCCATGAAGATCTTACCTTGTGCTAATAGTCTGTTTTCAGTAATTCAGAGTGAGTACACAGACAGGAGAGCAAATGTGTGGCATTTTTCTGAATCATCTCCAAAGAATAAAAGAGGTTATAGAATCTACTTGAGGTGCCAATAATACCTGACTTTGTCTCAGAGAACCTTAAAAGGCAATCAGCTCAAGCAAAGTCTAAAAACCTTTACCTGACATAATCTTGTCACTATGGCCCAATCCCCCACCATTATGAAATCAGAATTAATCAATATGCATCCAAAGCCATAACACCATTACAAGATAAGTGTTTCCCTCCCCCTCACCCACTTAAAACACTGTGTCTAAACATACACCTACAAAAGGAACTTAACATCAACTTCCAACATAACCAGGATCAGCTTAACAAGCTTAACAACGTACTGACCCCCTCCCATGCATTCAAATTCTAACTCCACCCCTTGAATTCACTTCTCTTCACTGATTTAATCTGCCATCTCAAAGACATCATTCCCCATCCTGAAGTCATCCTACAATCGTAATATCCTCATGAAATACAATAATAAAAAGACATACAAAATACCAAGACAAAATTTTTTAATATTAGTACCAACAGATTTAAAATTACATTTTAATAAATATAACAAATATAACGGAAAAATAAAAGAATTATAAGAACTGTACAGTTTCTTAACTGAAAGTTTACATATAGGCAGTTTATATAGAAAATTGCTATTTTAATCATAATTTTTCATACTTCCATAATGCCTATATGCATCAATCAACTTCCATAATGCCGTATGCATATATATTGATATATATATCAATATTTAAAGTTTTTAATGTGATAAATGAGCTTGCTTCTTGCTTGTTAATTTGTCTAATCTAGGTTGGATTGATGACAATGCTACTCTCAGTGGATAATGTATATTTAAACTGTTTCTGTGTTTTGTTTTAATAACACTCAGAGTAGAGAACCCAGTCTCACAGAGGTACGTTGAGGGGAATAGAAGAAGAGTCTTCAAAGCAATCTCAGCAAGCTCAGGATATTCATTTTTAACTTTTATCCAAAATGAAGCAAGTGATGCAGTATTTTCAAAATTCATTTTCAATCCTTCATCAGTAGCCAGCTTCAATAACTTATCCTGTAAAGATATAGTTAAATTTAAATTATCTTTTGATGAAAGAAATGGATTTTGGATCCATGAATTTCCTATGCGTGGATCTTCTTTTGATGGAAAATACAATTCAAAACAATCTAACAAATTTGTAAGATGTTCCTTGATAACCTTTCGCAGATGTGCAATATCAAGGTCATGACCCACCTCATTGATAACTGTTGTTAAATTATGGAACATGTCATAACAGTCTGTAGAAACTCGGTTTTTCCAAGCTCCTAACTTTTGTTTTTGTCCTTCGATCTTATCTGCCATTGAAAAACATGTTGCATTCTTTCCTTGCATGGAAACATTAAGATCATTAAAAATACTGAAGATATCAGATAAATAAGCAAGTCTGGCTGTCCAATTCACATCTTTGAAAAGTTGGGACCAAACTGGTTTCTTGCTTTGCAGAAATACTAAAAGTTCATTTCTTATTTCAAACATTCTTGATAGAACTTTTCCCCGGGATAACCACCGTATCTCAGCATGCAATAACAGTTGCTTATGATCAGTTTCCATATTATCACATAATAAAGAGAATAATCTTGAATTTAATGCATTAGATTTTACATAATTCACAATTTTTACTATGTCTGTAAGCACACTATTTAGTTCAGCTGATATTTTTTTCATAGCAAGACTTTCTCGATGAATGAAGCAATGTGTTATTCGACATTCTGGCGCAAGTGCCTTAATCTGGGTAACCACTTCAGAATGTTTTCCTGTCATTGAAGCTGCACCATCGGAACACACTCCTACACACCACTTAAATTCCAAACCACATTTGTTGACAATGTAATTCTTTATAGCTTCATACAGTTCTGAGCTAGTTATATTTGTTGGTAAAGAGGCTGAAAAAAAGAATTCTTCCTTTATATCATCATCATGTTCAAACCTTACATATACTAAAAGAATTATCATGTTAGCAATATCCCTGCATTCGTCAAGTTGCAACGAAAAATACTTTGCTAATTTTATTTGTTCTATGAGTTGGTCTTCCATATCATTAGCCAGTTCCTGAATACGTCGAGCTATGGTGTCATTGGAAAGTGGTACTTGAGCTACCTTCTTAGCTGCAGATTCACCCAACATTTCCAAGCAAACTTCTTTGATGCAGTCTTTCACTAGTGTCTCGGCAATTGTGTATGGTGTTTTAGACTTAGCAACCGGAAGTGCTACTTTATAAGAAGCCCGCAAAGCACTAATGTTTATATGAGAAACATTGAACACCTGCTTTGGTTGGCTTTTTAATTCACTACTCTTTCTTTCAAAGAATTCTTTTGGTTGTGAACTTATTTCTTTATGTTTTGAATATAAATGCCGCTTAAGTTTTGAAGGCTTCATTGCTTCATTAGCCAGCACATCTCCACAAATGATACACTGTGGTTTTAGCACTTCGCCGTCAATTACAGCTACAAAGCCAAACTCAATATATGAGGGATCATACTTTCGAGTAAAACTAGTATGAACTCTTTTGGTTTTCACTTCTTCGGGATGATTTCCATTGTTACCATTTCTTTTACCACTACTGCCGTATTCAGAACAGGTGTGTCTTTTCTTCACAAAAAAATCCAGTGAAGCTTGTTTTGCCATCTGCAAATTAGGATTAAAAATAATAAGAATTTTACTTTCCTCCTTTATCTAATAATGTTAAACTATAAGTTAAAAACCAGGCTTGACTAAAAATAAAAAATGATGTTAAAATCAAGCTACAAAGATAAATAAATGCTTACATTTTCTCAGAGTGTTATACACTTTTGAGTCACAGCTGACAAACTAACCATAAAATATCACACATTGTAATGTGAACCTATTGTGCTTGACTAGTGTGCAACTCCTACCATGTGACTCACCTTGAGAATTTAAAAACACCCAAACTGGTCTATATTCTATTTAAAAAGATGAGTTCATTAATCATGTACTTGGGTATTGCAGCTATGTCAAATTGTTATAAGTTTATAAATACTCTCAACTTATATAGACTTACCTCATTATGGACTGGTATAAATAGTTTGCAGGCCAGCACTGGTCTGAAGATCATACTCTGAGTACTACTGGCCCAAATCATGTGTAACCTCTATGTTTCAAAACTCTAACCTGAATACACATTAACTCTATAAAACCTACTGTTTTAAAATCTCTTTGGCCTTATCTCACGCTCTCTATTTGAATCTGAAAACTGCTTTCCAAAAACAAATCCATATCCCCCAACCAAATTTACCATCTCCTGCCCTTCCTAAACATTTCTTCACTTGACCTGAAGTCAATGCCCTTTCTTAGCTTACCTCCCGACCCAAACTCACAGACAATTAAAACAAAGTAACATTCAATTCATCTCCTCTCAAATTCATCCTTCTAGAAACATATATCTTGATACACAACATACACATCATACACCATGGATTATAGCTTTCTCATTCCCTCAGGAAATGCCTGACATCAGAAAGCAATAAAAGAGATACTATTCATCTCCCCAGAACAATAAGTAACACAGCATTCAAGGTTATAACTTCCAACTTGAAAAAAGGAGTGCAGGGAGGCTTTAAAAATAATGGGCCTTTCTTTAGAGAAAATATATCTGAGATAGCTGTAATTGTGCTTAAGTATACTGCATCCAAAATTCTCTTTCATTACCATCACAGGAAAGTGTAATGAAGTTCTTCTCTTTTGGTCTATAGCAGATACTCAAAATCTTACCCAATCTCCTACTTTCTCTGATGAAAATGGTGTCTCTGATGGCTTTAGCATTTTGGAAGGTTGAACAGTCAAACTTCTTTGAATCCCATCATGTTTCCTTTTCATTGTAGTGGTCTCATAGCAAAGACTGCACGTTATTCTGGGATGAAAGCCCTCAGTCTCATGCTGAGAGGGCACTCCGCAGAAGGCATGAACATTTCTATCACATGATATACAACTATGAGCCCCTGTGCATTCTTTTTCACAAACTACACAGGATGAAAAGTTTAGTCTGCTTTCAGGAGGGGTTTTTTTGACCACCTTAGGAGTGACAGAAAGATTCTCATCAGTATCACTACTGTCTGTTCCAGTCTCAATGTTTTCTTCATACTGGGCTCTTAGAGTATTTTCTAATTCTTTGTTGGCCTGTTCTAATTCATTTTCTGTGTTCAGGCTGGTGACAAGTTCTTCAGTTAACTGAGAATGAGACAGGCCCAGCTTAGCTTCAGAGTTAAAAGTACCTTCATATGGAGTCTGTTGCATGCCTCTGTGATAGGGTTGATTTTGGATCATCTGAATGAACCACAAAAATTCAGCCCAGTGTGATGAATTGTTAGTTTGCATCCAGGAGACAATCCTGTTTTGGATATCCTCGTTAATTTGATTCATAGAACTTTGGCTTTGGCAGGGCTGAGGTTTCCCATGGACAATTTTCAATTCTGGCCAAATATTACTGAGTTCACTGACAATTTGGCTTGAAAATTCCCTTCCATTATCAGATTGTAGGACACTTGGTGCTCCAATAATTGTAAAAATATCTAAAAGAGCATGTGCAACTTCCTTAGGCCTTTTAGATTTTAATGACCGCAAAAAACTCAACTTTGTACGAAGGTCTTGATAATGCATAATAAATTTATATTCCCCATCAGGATTCAACTGCATGTCTATAAGATCCACTTGGCATCTTGAGTGAACTTCCTTAATTGGCTTTGATGCTAGAACTTTCTTGAGTTTTGAATTTTTCTGCTGGCACAGTTTGCAGAGTGTCAAGTATAGCATTATAACTTCTTTCGTGATGTTCTTGTATTTTGCTTGTAACTCTTTTTCCATGCGGGTACGTCCACCATGTCCAATGCTGAGATGTGTATCATGCAGAATGTCAAATAAGTCCTCACTGTGTAAATAATACCGTATTTTATCTGTTTCCCCATTTATAGCTTCAATGAGCTTCTCATTTCCTTGTACAAGGATCACATCAAATCTAGCTAAGCGACGGTAGTCAACTGATTCCTTTTTTGCCTTTGCTTTAGCCTCTTTCACTTCCCTTATTAATTGACAGTACTTTGCTTTAGAAAATATCTTGGTGTTATTACTTTTGTTTTCCAATAACAATGCTAAGCTTCTGAAGAACTTTTCTCTCATGTTTTCTGGTTCAATTTCTGCTTCATTAGTATCTAAGCTACTGAGATTATCATCACCCATGCTTTGAGACATCATGGAAAGCCACAAAAATGACCCTAAAATATAAAGAAAAAAAGTCAATTAGAATATTTGGGAATATAACTTAAACTACATATATTGCCCAAGTAGCCACTAGAGCTTGGGTAGAAGTAGAGACTATGGACACACAAGAGGGGGGATACAATTTTGGTTAGGAGCCCCACCTCGAGGAATAAAGAGAGGTAAATGAAGAACTCTAGCAAGGAACGAAAAGTTCTGATATAGGAAAGAGTGGAAAGCCAGGATGTAACTTTCCAAAGCAGCATCTGGGGTTAGCCTTGAAGTAAACCACTGTTTTATATAAAACAGGAAGTAGGTCGATGTTATTATTGTTTATTTATTAACTACACAGGAAATTTTTTTTGGCTAGAGATCACTCAGCAATGTAGTAATCGATTTTTTTAAAAGCCTCAGATTATACCGCATTTTGTTTTATTCAGTCAGGTTACCTGTTATAGCAACATTTGGGGCTTAAGCTTCAATATCATATATTTATATCAGCTCCCTTTCAGGGCTTGTGAAACTATAAGCCCAGAACAAATATCTTTATTACTAATTTTAATAAAGAAAGAGTAGCAGGGGCCGGCTCCGTGGCCAAGTGGTTAAGTTCGCAGGCTCCGCTGTGGTGGCCCAGGGTTCGGATCCTGGGCGCGGACATGGCACCGCTAGTTAGGCCACGTTGAGGCGGCGTCCCACATCCCACAACTAGAAGGACCTGCAACTAGGATATGCAACTGTGTAGGGGGGAGGGAGGGGGGGTGTTGGGGAGATAAGGCAGAAAAAGAAAAAAAAAAAAAAGATTGGCAACAGTTGTTAGCCCAGGTGCCAATCCTTAAAAAAAAAAAAAAGAGTAGCAGATGAGCTTGAGTGAAAAATCTCTGAATTAATACAGCATATTAAAATAAATGTTTAGAATATTCATAATAACAGGAACATTTAGAATAATTCAAACTTGGCTAGTCTTAAGGAAACTATTTTGAAAAAAATCAAAAAGAATAATTTGGAATTACCATATCACCTCTAGATAGTTTTATAGCTGCTTGGAAAAAACAGTTTCGCTCAAGTCAACATTGTTTATACTGCCAATTTGCATATCAAATATTGAACTGGTAAATTTAAATCATTCTCAAATGTTCATATTTCCAAAATTAGGTTCAAATTAATGGTATGTTACTGTGTGTTTTGGTCTTACTTAATTCTCAATTGTTCCATGAGACTTCTTTGATCATTTAATTTAAGCTCACAGTGAGTTCTCCTTTCTTGAAAAATATAATTTATTCATAACACAAACTAGAACTGTAGCACTTTCTTCTTTAACTGTTTCATATGTAGACTAACAAGATTTTAAGTTTCTAAAGAAGCAGTGATCCCTTATTTCTCTAGTATTTTTTCCATTATCTAACACATTACTACACAGGAAAATGCTGGATAAAAATTTGGGGACTTTCTAATGAAGATGACAACACTCAGGGTAAGTGGTATCTCAAAATGTGACTGAAAAGACCATTACATGGTTATTATTTCTTTCCATGCTGATGTATTTTGTGCCATGTTATGAGCAGAAAAGGAAGGTAAACAAGGATGAATTTGGGGGAGGGAAGGAATATAGGGCAATGTAAATGAGAACCAGGAGAATATGAGCTCCAGAAGTTAGTAGAATAAATATTAATAGGTCTAGAATAAGCAGGGAATAGGGAGTTGCCAGGGCTATATGAGAAAAAATAAAAATTCTGTCAATTATACTTAAGCCTTTTGGAAAAGATAACTGCTCCAGAACTAGGTGAGCATGCACTCCTGTCTCCACAACACATTATACTACTAACAGTCCTTAGAACTCTAATGGACATAGACTTCAGAAATTCCAATTTCTTGAGTAAAATTTCTAAACAGTATTTCCAAGTCTTAAACGGTCACATGTGACAAAAATTGGGGGCAGAGGCTCTAGAAATGGGACGTATGCTTACACTGACAAGTGCTCCAGATTTATATACAGAGGCATCTCTAGTTTATCCACAGGTACTTAAGTCCATTGCAAAAAATCTGTGTTCAACTATTTTTTATGTTATTATCTGACAGCTTAATTCAACTCCTTTAATAACATTATACTACACTGGGTGACTTTTCCTTCAGCTATATTCAGTAGGGTCTGCAACAGAATGAGGTTTGATAACTTTTCAGTGACTAGACTTTTCCCTCTCCCAAATCTTATCCTCTTTCCAGAGACTAAATTATCCTCACCATTATCTTGAAGTGAGCGTGGCTCTGGAGATTCACATTCCATTCTGTCTTCCATAGACTGGAGCTGGGTACCTAAGGACTCCCTTGCAGTATCCAGAGGAGTCATTTCTTCCATAGGAACTTCCTGCCCATATGTCCCCTGTGGAACCTGGGGACAAATACGTACATTTGGAAATTAATATGAGTGATCACTGTCTGTACAAACCATAGCTAAACCTCAAAACAGTCTTCTAGTGAAACAGAATGTAAGAAGAAAAAGTGTCTTCACTGAATTTTTAAGAGGAGTGCAAAACAGAATAAGAGAAATAAAAAATGTTGGGACTAATAAAGCCAGAGTCATACAACAGAAACTGCCTGACTCCATTGGACAAGAGTTGATATGCATCCCTGTGGTTTCTGTTGTGAGGAATAACAATGGAAACACATTAAAGGACTCTTTCCTAAATTGTGATAATTGAAAGAAAATTGTAAATGCATTTCAGTATGAGCAATTAAAAGTAAATATTTGGGGTGGGGGCTATGCAAATTATCTAATAGGGACAATGAGTTGTTTAACTCAGGAAGGAATCTGACAGTTGTTTTAGACCCAATGTCTAAAACATTAGCCCAGTGTGTTATGGATGAAAAAAAAAAAGCCAATGAAGTTGGATAACTGTGTTGAGTGAAAAAGAAAACACTATCCTCTCTTTACACTAATCATCTAGTATATGGTTTATAATTAAATTTCCCCAATTGTCCCCAAAATACATTTTCTGGGTTTTTTTTAAGTCCATGATCCAATCAATATTTATACATTATTTTTGGTCATTATACCTTATTTGCTTCTTTTAATCAAAAATAGTTTCTTGCATTTTTTATGACATTAAATTTTGAAAAGTCAGAGCCAGTTGTCTTATAGAACATCCCACATCAGGAATTTGTCTGATTGTTTCTTCACAGATAGATTCCGGTTAAACATTTCTGGAAGAACACTATATAAGTGATACGTACTTACTGTGTCACACCACAGGGTACATGCTATCAAGTTACTTCGTTGTTGATAATGCCAAATTTGATCACTTAGTTAAGGTAGTGACCACCAGATCTATCCATTTGAAAATACTTTTTTCCCACTGTAATTAATGTCAGCTTTGGAATAATAATTTAAACTACGTAAATATCCTATTCCCCAATGGTTTTAGCATTCATTGATGATTTTTGCTTGAATCAGTTTTCATACTAGGGGTTGCAAAATGGTGACTTCCTACTTTTATAATTTCTTCTACATTTACTAGCTAGCAATTTTCTGTCAAAAGCTTTATGTTCCTCTTCCTTTATCTGTCTGTCCCTCTCTGTTTTTGAGTATCACTATAGACTTACTTTTTAATCCATTCCATCATTATTCACTTTGATACACCAAATGTCTCAGATTTGGCCAGTGGAGCTCCTTTGATCTGGTTCCTTCATCCTTTTGACATGACCCCAGTAGGTTATTTTTTAGCACAGCCATGCTTTCCGGAACAATAAACAATACAAGGACCACATTGTATTTTCCCTGTCCCAGATCTAGTTTTAACTGTTTTTCCAAGAAGTCGATTCATTTTAGAGGGCAACAGTGTTTATTTAGTAACAAAGATTGAGTAGTAGGTAGGCTCATTGTTAATGAGGCATCCTCGCCTCTAGGCCCTTTCATGGATAGAGCTGGTAAATACATTTTAGAAAACAGCATGAATTCAATTCAATTTCAACACCATAGGATTTTCCTCATCTTTCCATATTCCATATAAATATTTACCTTATTCCACAGTGAAAAAAAAGTTCAAAACAATGTATATATATTTACTCATTTGCGCTAACCTACAGTAAACACAAAATAGTTTCAGAATTACAACACTTTGTGTTGTAGAACACTTCCAACAACATACCTTCTAAGTAAAATTCAATATAAGTTTGCAGCTTTATATCCACAGACAGTATCCCACTAAGAGTGTAGTCAGAATACTATGTTCAAGTCACCTGAATTATTTTTTTCTGTTATTACCTTTTTAATTTGATATACAGTTGAGTTCATCTGTTTCTGTTTGTTTCATCATTTTGAATTTAACGTCGTTCTTTAAATACTTAAAACATTTACATGATATAAAAAAATCAAAATATATATTCAGAGAAGTCTTGCTCAAATTCATATAGCCTGCATTCTATTCTCACCCACTCTTATAAGAAACCATTTTTTTGTTGATACTTTACTATTATTTTTGCATAAATAAGTAAAAACATTATATATATACACATATATGTATGTCTATGTGTGTATATACTTATATATGTGTAAATATATAATATATATACAATGGAATGCAGATGTGTATATTTTCATACTATATATAGTAGTTTACACTTCCTTTTTTCCACTTAATACAAAAATATTATGTAGAAATCATTTCATACCAGCTCATAGATATCTTCCTCATTCTTTTTTATGTGTACATAGTATTACATTATATTGATGCACCATAGTTTATTCAATCACTCTTATACGGATGGGCATTTAGATTGTTTACAATATTTTGCTTTTACAAATAATGCTGCAATGAAAAATTATGTCTATGTTTTTCTAATTTGTAGACATACATTTTCAAAGTCAGTTCCCAGAAGCAGTATTGCTGGGTCAAAGGGTAAATGCGTAAATTGGTGTTATATGGTGCCCAAATCCCTTCTGTAGGGATGGTAGCATTTTGTACTTCTACCAGCAATGTATGAGAGGATCTGTTCAGATCAGACTGTGTTGCCTAGCTTTTGAATTTTTGCCAATCTGATAGGTGACAAATGGTACCTCAGTGTAGTTTTGATTTGCTCTTATTATGACTGAAGTTGAGCATCTTTTCATATAATTAAAAGCCATCTGTTTACCTGTTTGTGAAAAACTGCTCACATCTCTTGATCATTTTTATTGCACTTCTGTTAAGGAGAGTAGCTGTTATTCATTAAATATTTTGCAAATATTTTCACTAATTTATTATTTTGATTTGCTTCTGGGTTTTTTGTCCTGCATTTTAAAAGTGTTTCATGTAGAAAAATTTCTTTATGTTACTTCCGGATTTTGAGTAATTCTGTACAAATTATAAAAGAAGTCATCCATGTTTTCTCCTAGTTCCTGAATGTTTAAAATTTTATATATTGATCTATGATTCATTTAAAGTTTATTCTGGTACTCATATATGATGTGAGGTAAGAATTTAATGTGTTTCTTTTCAAAATGGTTATCCCTGTGTCCCACCACCATTTATTTAAAAGTGCTTTTTCCCCACAGTGATTTGAGATGGCACATGGATTGTATACACAATTTTCATATTTATTCAAGTCTACTTTGGTACTTTCTATTGTTTCATTGATCCATCTATTCATATACCAGTACCACAATTTTACCTAAAGAGGCTTTATGGTATGTTAGTATCTACTAAGACTATTTCACTCTTCTTTACTCGAGTTTTCCCTAGAGATGCTTTCATGCTTATTTATGCATATGAATGAAGTCCATGTCTTTCAACCCTTTTTTTCCATAACTAAGCAATTAGTTTTGTTTTTCCTAAGACAGTGGGTAGAAATTCATTTTCTATTCTCTTTTTTTTCCTGCTTTATCTCCCCAAATCCCGCCCCCACCCCCTGCCCCCCACCGTAGATAGTTGTATATCCTAGTTGCAGGTCCTTCTAGTTGTGGCATGTGGGACGCCGCCTCAACGTGGCCTGATGAGTGGCGCCATGTCCGCACCCAGGATCTGAACTGGGGAAACCCTGGGCCACCGCAGGGGAGCGCGCGAACTTAACCACTCAGCCACGGGGCGGCCCCTCTATTGTCTTTAAGTTTGGGGCAGCACAGATATCTCCACTGACTACAGATGAAACTATAATATAGTAATATCTCATTAAGTTATTACCTAATATGGTAATTCCCATAGAATTCACTTCAATGGAAATTAGCTGGTTGGCTGTGTTCCTTAGCTTCCCTGGGTTTTGTCTGCTTACTTTTATTTTTTTTTGAGATTGGCCCTGAGCTAACATCTGTTGCCAATGGGTGCTAGGTCCGCACCCAGGATCCTAACAGGTGAAACCCTGGGCCGCTGAAGGGGAGTGCACAACCTTAACTACTCGGCCATTGGCCACCCCTGCTTAGGTCTTTATGTTACTTATCATTGGCAGGTGATATCTCTTGGATTCGGCTGTGGTCTGAAAGTCTGTGTCCCCCTAAAATTCACATGTTGAAATTGTAACACACAATGTGATGGTTTTAGGAGGTAGGGCATTTGGGAGGTGATTAAGTCATGAAGGTGGAGCCCTCATGAATGGGATTAGTCCTCTTATAAAAGAGATTGCACAGAGCTACTTAGCCCCCTTCCACCATGTGAGGATACAGTGAGAAATCTGCAACCTGAAAGAGGGCCCTCCCCCAATCATGGCACCCTGATCTTGGACTTCCAGCCTCCAGAACCATTGCTTCTGCTTGTTTATAAGCCACCCAGTTTGTAGTATTTTGTTATAGCAACCTGAACAGACGAAGACAACTTGTATTTTACTCATGATATGGTTAAATAAGGAAGCAGTTGAATAGGAAGGAACATTAATGCTCACAAATAGGTTTATCTGGTGAGAATATTCAGAAGAAAAGTTACTACCACTGACTTTGAATAAACACTGCTTTTAACATAAATGCATGTTTACTTCTAAATTATCCACATGACGCTGTTCATTACACTTGTGTTTGATTAGGTTTTACTTTCTTGGGAAACCAGAAGTAAGAACCTATTTAAAGCTCTATTGTATTCCTTCTTTCAGCATTTCTGTAAATTAACTTACTAAATCTTTGTAAAATATGAATCTGCAAATTCAGTTATCACACCATCCACTATGTATGTTTTTCTGGACTGTGTTACAATCTAATAGCTGATTGTCCCAAACCTAAAAATGATAGTCAGTGGACAATAGAGAAATGCTGTAATAATCCAGGAAGTTGGTAAACAGCTCACTGTTTGGCACAGTTTGTTAGCATTAACCCTGAATGTTCCTGTCTGGCATTTCATTCAGTGTATTTGTGTTATCAACATACTATATAACTTTTTCTACTGAAACAGTGTGTCTGCCTACTCATTCCTACATATGGATCTTTGTTAGTCA